GTCCAGTTTACGCTGCAGGAAGACATGAAGGCGCCCATCATGGTGTACTACCAGCTCGACAACTTTTACCAGAACCACCGGCGGTACGTCTCGTCCCGGAGCGACGCGCAGCTGCGTGGCGAGAAGGCGGAGCTGCCCATCTCGACGTGCACGGGCTCGCCCGGTATCACCAGCCTCAAGTACAACTCGACGGAAGACCTCGCACCGGGCGCGACCGCCGCGTACTACCGATTCAACCCGTGCGGCCTCATCGCCAACAGTCTCTTCAACGGTACGCACACCTCGAGTGTCTAGAATGGCGAGGCTCACGCTGCCCACGAAGATCTCTTTTGGATCAACTCGATCACGACGCCAGACGGCAAGTACCTCGGCCAAACCGACACTTACAACGGAAAGGAGGTTGTCAACCTCATGGACCAGTCGGGTCTCGCGTGGCAGTCGGACATTGAGACCAAGTTTCAAAACCCGACGACGCTGGATAGCGAGGACATGATGCTGTGGCAAAACCCCAAGTACCGGTTTGTGATTCCGGCGCGCACGGGCCAGGAGCGTATTCTGAACGTGACGGGCTGGACGACGGCGGCGCCGCTGTACGGCGTCGAGACAGAGCGCTTCATCGTGTGGATGCGCACGGCTGGCCTCCCCAACTTTCGCAAGCTGTACGGCAAGATCAACACGGACTTGCCCAAGGGCACGGTGCTTCGCTTCCTCGTCTCGTCCAGTACGTCAGAATCTCCAACTCAAAACGATGCATAGAATAATGCTCTGTAGACTTTGCCGTGACGCCGTTTGAGGGCAAAAAGTCGCTCGTGATCTCGACGCTGTCGTGGTACGGCGGCCGCAACCCGTTCTTGGGCGTCGCGTACATGGTCATCGGCTCCATCTGCATTGTGCTCTCGCTCATCTTCTTTGCCAAGCACAAGATGACGCCGCGTAAGCTCGGCGACACCAACTACCTTGTCTGGAAGGCGAAGAACTAGTCGACCTACTACATCAACATCACCACCACCGACACCCCTTGCTTTTTTCTTCCATTCCCCACGACTTGAACGAAGCGTGGCCGATACCCAACCATCGGAATAGGACGACCAAACGCATTGGTAGAGCTGGGGCGTCGCATAGAGATGCAATGATGGCATCGGACACCGTCGTATTGTGTACTGGGAAGTAAGACAGATCGCTTTCTTCTCGGCGTGGTTTCCGTGCGGGGCCCAGCGTGTCGACAGCAGCAGACTCTATGAGCGTGACGCCGGTTCCTCGTTTTTTCGGCGGTGCGCTCCATCACCGAGACGCTGTCGTCTTGGTTGCCGTTGTGATGGCCATGCCGGAAAAATTGGGCTCGAGAATATTGTGGGGGGGTCTGAATTGGCCGGTCGTTGCGGCCGAGCCGGAGAACCTCGGCCCGATGGCATATGCTCAGCACGAGCACACGGTGCTTGGTGTCACTTTGGCACCAGCACGCCTTTCGAGTCGCCACCGCTGCACTGGCCGACGACCTTCTCGGCAAACGGCGAAAGCACGTGGTTTGTCCACATCCTCATCAACCTCTTGAACTGCATCACAGGAGCGTCCAAGAGCGCGCTGCTCACATGGGCTGCCACGTCATTGTACGCGCCGGTTGCGCCAGTTGGATGTCGATTCATTTCACGTGTGTACGTATGATTGAGATGAACATCGGCCTGCGTTGCGTCTGTGCAAATTGGCAGTGCGACCCGCGTCGGCGTCAGCTTTGGCGTGCTCCCGTCCTTCTGTGCTTTGGCGTCGAGCGGCTGTCCGTGACGCTGGGCATGACGCTTCTCAACGCGACAAGCCTCCGCATGCTACTCAGCGATGTGCATGACCGCGGACTGTCCGAGGTCCTGGCCGGTATCTTTCTGCGGCTGGAGAACCTCAGCCTTTTGCCATCAAAAGCTGACGCTCTGTCGCGCTGCCCGTTAACGCAACCCGTCGACCTGCGGGCTTTTTGGTTTCGTTGAGCCGTGTCTCGTTGCTTTCAAATTGCTCGCTTCCGTGGAGTCTTGCCTCCCGTCTCATGACGTGGCAGTGCCACAGAGCAGTCCGTTACGCCAGGCAGATTTGCTGGCACAAGCTCCAACAAGCGACATCGATTGCGCATTGCACCTTGACGCGCGACCTAGACACACTCCCTCACACTACTTGGTACATAATTCCATGACAGTATGAGATGCAGTGGTCGCTCGGGCTCCTCACACGCCCTTGGACCCCTCTCGTTGCACAGGATTGTAAAGCGCGTCGTCTGCTCCTGGTTGCGAAATCGCCTCGTACGGCGCCAGAGCGCGGTACGAGGACGCGCTCTAGGCGTAGCATGGCATGAATAAGCATAGACCAAGCGACTTGCAGCTGCCAAGTCGCTCGATGTGGTCGCGTGTTGAGTCGTTGGCGTTGCTCGTCGGTAAATATTGACGTCAGAACAATCCAGCCGAATCTTCCAACGTCGGTTTTGATTGGCTGAAATGCCGTCGCTCTCTGGGTGACTGCGGGGCATTTTCGATTTTCACGGCAGCATGTCCCGCTTCCTGACCGAGCCCAAGACAGCCAAGACGACGTCGAGCCACGACGCGCCCGAGGTGCGCCTCGCCATCGGCAGCAGCAGCATGCAGGGCTGGCGCGACACGATGGAGGACGCCGAGCTCGTCCAGACCAAGCTGCCCTCGAAGGAGAAGATGGCGTGCTTGGCTATCTTTGACGGCCACGGCGGCGACGCGGTCGCCAAGGACGTGTACGCCCATCGCCGCTTGACACCCTGGAGCTCACGAACGTTGCGTAGGTCGGCCCACATCACGCCGCTGCTCCTCGAGACAGACGGCTTTAAGAAGTTTGACGGGGTACGTTGCAAGCTACATGCCGCGGATGCTCATGGCGTGTGTAGAAGGACGCGACTCTGCTCGTCTCGGCGCTGCGTGACTGCTTTCTCACGATGGACGACAAGCTGCGCGAGACGGTTGGCGCCGATGGCCGCGCCGATGAGATCGGCTCGACGGGCCTCGTGGTGCTCATCACGGAGCAGTACATCGTCTCGGCTAACGTGGGTGACTCGCGCTGCATTCTGAGCCAATCCAACTCGCAAAGCCGATTCAGATGTCGCTCGACCACAAGCCCGACCTCGAGGCGGAGAAGAACCGCATCGTCGCCGCCGGCGGTACCGTCTTCCGCGGCCGCGTCTCGGGCGGCGTCGCAGTCTCGCGCAGCTTCGGCGACTTCTGGTTCAAGCGCAACGAGAAACACCGAACAAGAAGCCGTGGGACCACCTCGTGATCGCCGAGCCGTGCGTGAACGTGACCAAGCGCGACGCGCACGACG